ATATTGTCAAACCTGCTGTAACGACCAACAGTCCAAGACAATCACCTGCACAACTGACCACTTCCCACATTCCCCTTTCGTCTTTCTATGTAATAATGGTACTGGCAAAGGAGACTGCCTGTCTAACACAACCACTTTCCTCCTAGACAATGGATGGCCGTTTTGGACAACGTTTACTTATACTTGTATTCTTTTCCTCCGCGTTAAAATTTCCTTTTCAGCCAAGACATTAATTTGATGATTATGTGCTCAAAAAGAAAGATCTACCGTCTTTGAAATATAATAGTTACACACTCCCCACCCCACCAAAGAAAAAGCACGAGGAAAAAATGAATAAATGGTCATGCCACAATATATTCGCTGCTCTTTCTGTGAGAAGACAACTGAGAAGACAGTATAGCTTACCCTGAAACAGTTCTTATCTACCGCCATCAGAGGTTGGATTACCTATAGTATACTCAGTTTGTACCTTGTTAGACGGATGAGCATGCAAATCGGTATGCAAATACTAATACACGAGGGTGTCTATGGTGAATATTCTATAATAATTTGAATAGTAATTTTCTTTCACTGAAACCGTCTCACTGGTTATTTTTGTCACTTATTGCCTTTGTTTTTTGTTCTTTTATATACCTTTATGTCTTTCCTTCTTTTCTTCTTCTTATTTTGTTTTGTTCAAAAAGTATATTGTTAGCCTATTGAACAATGATAATGGCATGGGGAAAACTAAGAACCCTTAATTGATTTGCATACAAAGAGGCCTTCATTGGTTGACTTGCATGGGGCTAAGATATTGTTAACACAATTCGCATTCATAATGTACAGTTCGTGTAAATTTGTTATGAAACCGGTAACATCACGTTAAAAATAAAAATATGGATTCTTGATCACTTCTAGGGCAGCTTTCTAGGTAGCTTTGCAGTGATACCTCTGCTGCCCGTTGACCCTTCTATCTCCAATTGATGTAGGTTCGAACCGACGAGATGTCATTTGACCGGGAAGGTGTGGCCAGGATGGTTTCATGCTTGTGTGAGACTGAATGTGAGTGTGAGTGTGAGTGTGGGTGTGAGAGTGAGTGTGAGTGTGAGTGTGGGTATGTGTGTGTGTTTGTGTGTGTGTGTGTGTGTGAGTGTGAGTGTGAGTGTGGGT